TTTTTAAGAGAAAAGGTTATGGCATGGGTACAAAATTCGGTAGAGTTTCGTAAATGACAATTTAACACAGGTAGGAATGAAATGTAATGGGGTATGGAAATTTTATGGTATGATATTAAGTTTTCGCATATTACATTTATAGTTGTATTTGTAATTGTGGGAAAAATGGGAGGCACATTATGAGATGAGATAATTTAAAATTGATACTTATAAAAATACGAATCTAGGACTAGTTTTTGAAAACTTTTAAATATTGAGAAATATCAATTGGAATAGTAATAGGTCAAGTAAAATAAAGAGTGTAATAAATTTAATTATTAATACTATGGCCATAAATAAGGTATTAAAAAAAAACACACACAAATAAGGTTAGAAAATATGATTCGAGTAATTAAAATATAATATGATTTTTTTATGTAAAATTGAAAGTTGCATATTTGGATAATGTCATTTTAGGTGAATATAAGAAAGGCATGTAAGATTAGTAAATTGGCAAAAATGCGTGATTGAATATTTTTAATAATAGAATTGAAAATGATGAATTAAAATTTATAATTTGATTAAAATAAAGTAAAAATGATAAATGAGAGTGTGAAAGTTTTAAAATTTGAATAAAAATGATATAAAAAAGGTTATAATTGATTTTAAAATGCTTAAAGTGATAATATAAGTATAACATTTATGGGGAAATGGCAGAAACAAAGTTTAAAGTACCTTGAAATGATTGATGCTGGCTGGAGTTGATCTCTGGAGATGGCTGTATGGAAGAAGGCTGCTTGTTGCGTTTGATCCGTCGAAAGAGGAGATAATGGCCTCCTCCGCACGAGGCACGGCTTGTCCCCGCATGGCGTCTGTTAGGCGGCTTACTAGTTCGTCGCAGTGGGGTTGCATGGTGGTGAGGGCATCCGCGACGTATCGTCTCCAGCCTCCGTCATCCTCTGCACGTCGTTGTCCTCAGTCATCCTGTCGACTTTAACGGGTTATGTAGTAATCCCGAGGTGGAATGTGCTGGGCAGTCGTGGTAGTGGGTGAGTGATGGGATTCCCGCACTGGGACAGCAAGAGACAGAGGCAGGTCTAGATGGTAAACTCCAAGAAGTAGAGGTAGACCACGGACGAAGGTAGTCGGACCATGGACGTCACGGATGCCCTAAGTCTACATCGCGGATAGGGGTGAGAAATCTGACTGACCGTATGACAGCGTCGCTCTGAAACAACTGAAACAACTACTCTCTTTGTCCCAATTCTTGGGGGCTTTTATATGAGACGCTCGCAGATGGCGATGAGTTCTGATTGGTTCCCATTAAATCACGCCACCTGTCAAGCGCTGATTAATTATGTCTGGCCACGTGTCGGCCACCTGCTGACGGGGGGGGATGAACTCATTATCATAAACACCTGTTGTCTGGTTATTGCGTCGTCTGATCTATAGTGTCGTCTTGGTCTACCTTTACCCCTTCTTTGTTTTATTGTCACTTCTATTATTACAAGTATGATACATATTTTTACATAGATATGGTGTTATAACAAATATTAGAATAAGGCTGTGAACTATATTACCCAAAATATACTACATATATATCTTCATTTTGTAGTTGTTTTTATTGAGTCTTCTGTGTTTTCTACCCTCTCCAATAACTTACAGGAATATGTATTTAAAAAGGAGAGCAGAAGAATACATCTACAACCTATTTACATACACAACACCCATCAAATATTATATCAGAATAATTAAAGTCCATATGTACATATTTCCTTTATAAATTCTAATTCTTCTATCTTTTTTTTATAGCTCTTTTCTGTTATCTCTCAGGAGAATCTGTATATATTAATAAAGATCTTAATAAAGGATTAATTGATGGATTGAAAACTTTATTTTTAACTGTCCAAATTGCATTAAAGTCTTCTTCTTCTTTCTTATCTCCACACTGGGTGAAGTAGAATGTGTCTGCCTTTGTCATTAAGACTGGGAGCACTACTCAGTGGCAGGCCGACTTAGCTCCAAAAGAAATGGCCGCCTCTGACATGAGGAACAGACGCCATGTGCAGCCGCTCCTAACATGGAGTACAAACGCTGCTCATCCTGTATCCCTGGATTAGGAGCCCTTACAGGGTACTATCAGCCGGGCCAGCTGAGCCCAGGTTTTTTAGTGAGCTTGTTACTGCTCCCCCGCCCCTTCTTTTTCATCCGGGCTTGGGACCGGCAAAGGAAAAAAGGTGAATCTACCAGGTGAATCTTATATGCAACTAATTGTGCAACTGCAAACTGCGGGGAGGGTTCACTACTGATGAGCCAGGCCTTCCCATTATTTTTATTGCTGAAGTAAGGGCGGTAGAAATATATTTGATTTAAAAAGAATCATACGTGTCGAAATTAGCTCAAATTTCTTATATAAAAAGTTGCATATAAAAATAGAATAAAAACAAACAATTACTCTCTCTCTCTCTATTCCACATCGAGTGTTGAGGTGTTATTAAAAATAATATTTTATAAAAAAAAAAAAAAAAAAAAACCTTTGTAGAAGCTTTATGAGAGAAAAAAAAAGGAGAAAACACTGTGCAAATGGAACCACTATGGCGGTAAAGAGGCTGTTCATTATATATATATTTATATTTATTTAAAACAATTTTCTACTGCCCTTACTGATATACTAAAATAATGGAAGGGCTTGGCTCATCAGTGGTGAACCCTCCCAGCGGTTTCGCCAGTTTCTATACCACAAGAGGCATTTCTCCCGTTAAAATACACATAAAGAATGTATTTCTGTTAATCACCACAGTATAGAACGCTATGATGGTGATGTCACAACATTAGTTTCGGGAAATTCAGACAACAACATGTATACCGTAGGCAGTTAACCAAGCGTGAACTAAATTGACTCTGTCTCCTTCGAAAAAAAAAAAAAAAAAATCAGACGACCGTCGACATCAAAGACTTTCCTTTTCCTTAAATTATGTCCCGTGAATTAGATGAAGATAATAAATATTGGGAGATATAAAAAATACTTGCTGAAAATAACTCTATTACGTTCATAACTTGATCCGATGTTATTTGCATATTATATAGCTATACATTAGTAAATTTATTGAATTAAATATCTGATTAAATAGTTAAGAGATGACATAAGATTACCCATGGAGAACCTTACATAGGAAACAAGATTGATTTCCATTGATTATTGTGCTTGCCTTAACATCAACAAATATATTATAATAGGAAATAAATGGAGGAAAATATAATAGGTTATAAAAAAATATATATAAAATTTATCGAGTTAAAAAATAAACATAGTGAGAAAAAATCAATTCATATAAGCAAGCTTAATGGACAGTCATGACGTAGCCACGCAATAATATTTGAAACGAAGGCGATAAAAACGTGGTGATTTTCTTGTAATGGTGGAACACAAGCTTTCAGGCAAGAATGCCCTTTCTCAGGTTACAACTGGGCAGGAAACAAAAAGTGCCAATTTTATAAGCGGAAAAAGTAAGAGAAATTTACATGCTATGAAAAAGTAAAAAAGCAAGGATTTACATTTTTACAGGTGAATGGAGAATATTTTTAAAACTATGGACATGAAAAATAGCCAATATCGCAAGGAAGACCAGAAGAATAAAAAGAGAAAAAGGAACGAAAGGACGCAAAGCATGGGAACACGGTAGAGCGGGATAAAAGACAAGAAGATACAGTAGGTAAATAGTTCAGCTAGGGGGAATGGCGGGGTAAAACACGGAGTACTGGGGTGGGAGGTCGATTTTTTGGTTAAAACTGGGCGTGCAGTGTGAGACCAAAGATTCAAGGACCAAGCGCTGATACTTGTTCCCGACGCCCTTGTAAACGCATACAGCGCTGTCCAAATTGAACGAGTGGCGAAATTCTGCGATGTGTTGGCATAAGAGAGACTTGCGGTCGTTGGTGCGTATGTTGCGGCTGTGTTCAGATAATCTGGTGCAGATAGATCGACCGGTTTCTCCGATGTAACACTGTTCGCAATCGAGATTGGGAATTTTGTAAATTGCGTTGGTGGCGGTTAGGGGATTAGTTCTAATCGAACTTTTTGTAATCGGATGGCGTAAGGAAGTATAGAGGGAAGGGTTATTATTAAAATAGGTACGTATTCCAAATTTGCGTAAAAAGAAAGAAATGTCGGAGTTCCTGGCCGAAAACGGGAGAACACAAAGGTCTTTGTAGGGGGGAGGGACTGTTTTGGTGGAATTAGGCGAGTAAAAATGATGACGGATAAAATCATGAATGGACAGTATATTAGCTCGACGGTGGCGCTCAAGTGGCAGAAATGGGAACTAAAATTGTCCGAATATATTTTACGTCCCATTTCGAAGTAGGTCCATATGTATAGGGTTAATAATTATAAATAAACAATTACTGAATTAACCAATATTCAAATTTACATTTAAATGGAACAGAAATATAAGTTTTAAATTAAATAATACAAAGTTAAAAATTTAGTTCCCACTTCTGCCACTTGAGCGCCACCGTCGAGCTGATTGTATGCCTATAAAGATTACTTTTAAAATGTTCAGTTTTTACTTCAATAAAACTATTAAAAGACCTTTTTATATCAAAATATTTTTAATATCGATTTAATTTTTGGATCCTGATAATATATGACAAACATTTAAAGACATTTTAACATATCGATAATATCATAAACAGTTTTCGTACCACTACCGCCATCTATTGAATAAATTTATAACTATTTTAAAAATATAAACTAAAAAAAATCACCTATAAATTATCTTTTCTAATTGCTCTGATAATATTTTTATATAAATATAATTTAATATTTTAAGTAGAATAACTTACTGAGAAAATATATTTTAATAAAAAAATCCAAAAGAGGATTCGAACCTATATATTTAGATATTTACCTGTTCAGGAAATTTATAGAAAGAGAACTATAGAAGTTATTATACCGATGAAAACTACGTAAACCATTATTCTATAATATAAAAAAATACATGGCGGACATTTGGTAAAAAGAGAATTCAAAGATAAAGTTAATAAGTTTCTTTATATAATATATATAGAATTTATATATAAAGAAACTTATCCTCTTTGTCTTTGAATTCTCTCTTTACCAAGTTACTCCAGAGGATTTTATCTTGTTTGAACATGGCGGACATGTTTGTAACTTTAAAAAATGGCGGAATAGCGCCAGCGGTTAAGCATTTGGGCTTTATCCAAAATTGTTTCAAATCGAAGTAACCGCTTGGCTAGGCCCGCCACCTATTTGTTAGTTTACATGACTTACTTTTAAATGGTCGCGTAACCTTTGAGAGTGTAGAAACCATATTTTGAAATAACGTTTAACTTTTAGAGAGATTACTTTTTATATTATATTTGAAACATCTTTCTTTTAAAATGCCGTTTCTTCTTCTTCTTTCTTATCTCTACTCAACCATCTTAGGGTATCAAGATTGTAAAGCTTGAGATCATGACTGGGTGAAGTAGAATGCGTCTGCCTTTGTCATTAAGACTGGGAGCACTACTCAGTGGCAGACCGACTTAGCTTCAAAAGAAATGGCCGCCTCTGACATGAGGAACAGACGCCATGTGCAGCCGCTCCTAACAATGGAGTACAAACGCTGCTCATCCTGTATCCCTGGAGCCTTTATAGGGTACTATCAACCGGGCCTGCTGAACCCAGGTTTTTTAGCGAGCTTGTTACTGCTCCCCCTCCTCCTTTTTCATCCGGGCTTGGGACCAGCAAAGGCGGAGTTTTGCATTAAAGTATAGCCCTACATCCTTGGCTCCCCTTCCAGACTCGATCTGTAATTACCTTGTCAACTGTTACATCGCAACAATCTGCTCCTCTCATGACTAGAAATGTCTTCTAGACCGTGGCAATAAAGCCCGGGTAGTTAGAAAATCCAGGGTTAATTATTTTTCTTTCTCTCTATTTTACACACTGTATTTCGATCATTTATTTAATCTACGTATTTTTTATTCTAAGTGAAAATGATAATCGCTAAGGTTTTAAAAATAATGTAATAAATTTTAATTTAAAAATAATAATTATAACTTTATTTTTCAAAAAGGTTATAAAAGTTTTTCTCTAAAAAGTGTAACGAATGGTCAGTCTATTTACATATTTTTATTTACAACTTCAATAAATAATAACTGTAAAAGTAAACAAAGATATTTATATTTGTTATCTTGACTCCTGGTCAGTACTGTGGCCAATAACAACAATAATAATAGAGAGATAGAGAGTTCAATTTAAAAAATAATCCATTATTTCAATATCAAAATGAAAATATCACGCTCACAGGAATAAATTTTTAAAAAGTCTTTCGTGCCGCGGAAAGCTAGAGTTTCATGAATTAAAATATTTTAACCCGTGAAACATATCCCTGGAACACTATAAAGGAATGACAATACATCCAGATTGCACAAGAACCTATAGAACATGCAACAACTGTCCTGGTGTGGAACTAACACCTACTCACATATTCTCATGTCCAGCAATGACCTCAGCCTTGCAGAAAATTGACATAGACCCAGAGCAGCAGCTTTACACACCCAAGATAGTGGACATTGCTACTGCTGTGATGGAGATGTATGGAGACATCTGAGGCTCTTCATTGGACACGACAACCACAACATATCCCTGGAAGCCCTTTTTCACTTTAATAAACAACTTAGCAACCATTATATATCAATGGGCACAAAAAAAAAAAAAGAAGTTTCAAATATAATATTCAAAGTAATATCTCTAAAATTTAAACGTTATTTCAAAAGATGGTTTCTACGCTTTCAAAGGTTACGCGACCATTTAAAAGTAAGTTTTGTAAACCAAAAAATAGGTGGCGGGCCTAGCCAAGCGGTTACTTCGATTTGACACATATATTTGGATAATGTCCATATACATAACCGCTGGCGCTATTCCGCCATTTTTTTAAATCACAAACATGTCCGCCATGTATTTTTTTATATTATAGAATAATGGTTTACGTAGTTTTTATCGGTATTATAACTTATCGTTCTCTTTCTATAAATTTCCTGAACAGGTAAATAATCTAAATATATAGGTTCGAATCCTCTTTTGGCTTTTTTAAATTATTAAAATATATTTTTTCTCAGTAAGCTATTCTATTTTAAAAATATTAAATAATATTTTATAAAAATATTACCAGAGCCATGAAAAAAATAATTTATGGAGAATTTTTTAGTTTGAATTTTTAAATAGTTATACATTTATTCAATAGATGGCGTTAGTGGTACGAAAACTTTATGATATTATCGATATGTTAAAATGCCTTTAAATGTTTGTTATATATTATCAGGATCCAAAAATTAAATGAATATTCAATAATATTTTGATATAGAAGGCTTTTTTTAATAGTTTTATTGAAGTAAAAACTGAAATCAAAAAAGAAATTTTAAAAGTCATCCTTATAGGCATACAATCAGCTCGACGGTGGCGCTCGAGTGGCAGAAGTTGGAACTGAACTTGTCTTTGTATTATTCACGCTACATTTCAAGTAAAATTTGAGTGTAGGTCACTTTATTAGTAATTTATTAATCATTATCAACCTTCCACATGTAACCTAACTTTAAACAGGCGGTTAAAAATACAAGGTAAATTTTAGTTCCAATTTTTGCCACGTGAGCGCCACCGTCGAGCTGATATGTGGTCCATAAAGTTCGCTTATAGAAATTAATTGATTTCTTCCCACTAGGTTTCTTTTATATAATTATATATATATTCTACGGGTAAAATGTTTATATAATTCAAAATAACAATTACCCAATTATTTTAATTATAATGTTTATTATTTATTTATTTTTTACACCGGGGCAAACACCTTAGTGAATTATATTCTCATTCTTATAACTTTCATCCACATATCTAAAGAGACAAAGATCACCTCTCCCGTCAAAATAGACGTCAAAACTAGACGCTATCTATTGACCGTCGCCGCAAACTAGCGGCCTCGGGTAGGTGACAAAGCCACAACACCAGCTTTTAACGTCTATTTTGACGGGAGAGGCGACATTTGTCTCTTTAGATCAATATCCTCCCGGAAAAATTTCCATCTCTTTCATCCACATACTTTATATAAATTATCTCTCATTTCAATTACTTAAGAATATTTCAATGACACGTAGAAATTACAAGTTTGACTTGAGATCTTAAATAGGAGCGTTCGCAATATATAAGCAACAACTATATATCAAAAGGCATTTTAACTCCGCCTTTGCCAGTCCCAAGCCCGGATGAAAAAGGAGGGGCGAGGGGGAGCAGTAACAAGCTCACTAAAAAAACCTGGGCTCAGCTGGCTCAGCTGGCCCAGCTGTTAGTACCCTGTAAAAGCTCCAGGGATACAGGATGAGCAGCGTTTGTACTCCATGTTAGGAGCGGCTGCACATGGCGTCTGTTCCTCATGTCAGAGGCGGCCATTTCTTTTGAAGCTAAGTCGGCCTGCCACTGAGTAGTGCTCCCAGTCTTAATGACAAAGGCAGACGCATTCTATTTCACCCAGTCATGATCTCAAGCTTTACAATCTTGATACCCTAATATGATTGAGTGGAGATAAGAAAGAAGAAGAAGAAAAGGCATTTTAAAAGAAAGAAGTTTCAAATATAATTTTCAAAAGTAATCTCTCTAAAAGTTAAACCTTATTTCAAAAGATAGTTTCTACACTTTAAAGAGTTACCCGACCATTTAAAAGTAAGTCTTGTAAACTAACAAATAGGTGGCGGGCCTAGCCAAGCGGTTACTTCGATTTGAAACAAATTTGGATAAAGCCCAAATGCTTAACCGCTGGCGCTATTCCGCCATTTTTTTAAATTACAAACATGTCCGCCATGTGTTTTTTTTTATATAATAAAATAATGGTTTACTTAGTTTTTATCGGTATAATAACTTTTATCGTTCTCTTTCTATAAATTTCCTGAACAGGTAAACATCTAAATATATAGGTTCAAATCCTCTTTTGGTTTTTTTGAATTATTAAAATATTTTTCTCAGTAAGCTATTCCATTTTAAAAATATTAAATTATATTTATATAAAAATATTACCAGAGCCATTAGAAAAATAATTTATAGAGAGATTTTGAGTTTGAAATTTTAAATAGTTATAAATTTATTCAATAGATGGCGGTAGTGGTACGAAAACTTTGTTTATGATGTTATCGATATTTTAAAATGTCTTTAAATGTTTGTCATATATTATCAGTATCCAAAAATAAAATCGATATTAAAAAATATTTTGATATAAAAAAGGTCTTTCAATACTTTTATTGAAGTAAAAACTGAAATCAAAAAAGACATTTTAAAAGTTATCTTTATAGGCATACAATCAGCTCGAAGGGTTCGCCCGAACCCGGATCCGGGACTGAAAATTGAGGGCCAACCAATCAACATTGGTAAATCCATCACCATCCTAGGAGTGGAATTCGACCAAACTCGCCGGTTTGTCGCACACCTACGTAACCTGACTCGTAGATGTAAGTACATTATTCCACGTCTCGCCTACGCCATTCAAGGTAAATATGGACTTTCCTTCTTAGCTGGAAGAAACATTTTTTCTGCAGTTGTCATCCCGGCCTTCCTATACGGAGTTTCAGCCTGGGGTAGTCGTGCTTCCGCCAATGAAGAAATCCGGCAGCTCAGAAGCCTCCATTACACCTTCGCAAGATGTATTTTGAGAGGGGGTCCTTGCACCCCAACCATCCCAGCCATATCCATCACTGGAAGCCCACCTCTCGACATCATCATCAGGAGCCGGATGGCTTTCCTCAAGCAGATCAATGAGGGAGGCTTTGAGATCAAACCTGGTCCGGCTGCATTGCCCTACCCTCCTTTTAGACGACTTCTTTCTTTCAGCCTGAACTTTGAAGAGGTAACAACCCCAATTATCTACACGGACGGATCAAAAAGTGACATAGGAGTTGGGGCCGCTGTAGTCCTTCCTTCACCAGAACAGCCTCCAGTACTTCTTCGGCTTCATCCAAACTGTACAGCCTTCCAGGCAGAACTCCTTGAAATACTTTGGGCCGTTCGCATTGCGGGGAATGATTCAACGGGCTTGGGAATAACCATTGCCTCAGACTGCCAATCTGCTC